CCCCAAAACCCCAAAACCCCAAAACCCCAAAACCCCTAAAAATAAAATATTTATTGAAAATACAGAAATGAAGGTTTTGAACAACAAAAGAGGATTAAAGATTAAGAAGGATCTGTTTAATAATAAGCCTAATCTGTCCTTACGTGGATGCACTTTTGATGTGAACCATCTGCATAAGTTTATTACTAGTGGAGGGATGTCCTCTCCATTGGGGAGTTATCCTAAGATGACGAAAACACCAGCTCCAAAGTTGAAGAGTGTCAAATCACAGCCAGATACTTCTGCTCTATTTACCAGAACTAGGTATAGTAGAGGGCTTTCACAGCAGAGAAACCGGAGTAAGCATTTTGGCCAATACTTTAGGTAGTAAAATTATTGGATCAGAATTCATGACAAATATTCGGCCTAGCTCAACATTCCTCTCAGTTCCAAGATACACAACTGCGTATCTCATAGGAGACAAAGCTAATTTCTACACAAGCGTAAAAGAGCCTACAAGGGACCCTGACTCGGTCGAAAGCGAAATTGCTAATTTTGACTCAGATAAAGCCCAAAGAAAAACAGCATTGGGGACAAAGAATAAAATTTTAAGTGATCTAGGGTCCATGTACAACAATACAATTCCTTTATCTCCACAGACAAGCAATTTCTTAATGTCTCCCAAAGAGAGGAGGAAGGAGGTATCACTCACAATTTTAAAAAAATTATATTTTTAGGTCAAAGAAATGAAAGAAAAGCTTTCCCAGTATTTAAACCTCAAAGAACAAGCAATGTTTGTGAATAAGAGGAATAGGCAATTGAAATATGGTTATCGAGATAATATAAGAGATCAGATAATCCGTCCAAAGACTACGAACAACTTCTTCTCATCAAGAAAGCCTCAAAAGACAAGGGATGGTCTCAAGACTTCTAAATAATGCTCGGTATAGAAGAAGGGTAAGCTTTGAGATTATAATACATCAGCTTCAAATTGAAAAGACAGGGACTAACAGCCAGATTGAATTCTTTTGTGACCAGAAAACTTCTAAAGGAAACTCAAGTAAACAGCCTGTAGTTGACATAGCAATCGGGTGGAATAGAAAGAAGGAACCTCAGGTTAGACAACCCTCTAATACCTTCAATAATGTATTCAATATGTAGACGACCAATGTTCTAGAATCCAGAATAAATGAAGGTCTATTTCAATATTTGGAACAAATCAGGGGTTTTGGGGTTTTGGGGTTTTGGGG